CTATGTTCATTACTGATTTAAAACAAGAGTCCAAAGATTTTTTGTCAGCTTTTTCCCGTTTTATCCATTTCAAACAGTAAGTATGGAGTGAGTCGTGGATGATATTACGACACTCATTCCAATTAATAATTGACGGGGGACGATATTTAGGTCCTTTACTGAGGAATGATTTTAACTCTCGGTCTTGGACGATGTTAAGATCTCCTGTTATAACATGGGAAATGGGTCCATAAATGTATTCGGAATTACTGCAATTACATGAAGTAGGTGTATTTTCACTGATATTAACATCTTTACACAATTGGCTATAATTAAACACAAAATTCCGGGTAGATTTCTTGTAAATATAACAAATAAGAGGGAGCTCAGTATTATCAAAATATCCCGGAATTTGTTCTTTAACAGAATGGTCGTTAAAAATACCGGCAATATTTACAAAATCAAAACCTTAATTGACATACTTTATTTTAATAAACTGTTTTTATGATCTTCAGGGCGATCAATTTTGGGAAACAGTTTAGAATAACAATATGCCATTATAATTTGAACGATTTCATACTTAGGACTATATGAAATTGTGTTGCAATCCTCTAAAATTTTATTTAACTTATTAACCGGTAATGAACATAGCTTTGTTAACAGATAATGTCTGCCGTTGTTTTTTGAAATAGAAATTAGGTCCGAAATATTGGTATGATTGGTCCGAAATTTTCTTTGATTGCGATTTTTTCTACGACCATGAGAACGGTTTTTACGAACAGTTTTAGAAACTATATCCAAAATGTTAACAGAATCGGTTCTTGATATATTACCAATTCCTATGATATTATCATTAAGACCGAGAGGGTAGACTGTCTGTAATTTTTTAATCCAATTTAATTCAATTATTTTCCGCGATCGTACAAACTTTGAATGAGATTCACCAGGCTGCTTATTTACTACTTCTAAAGGTTGAACTGCTAAATATTTAATAGGATGATTGTGCTTCTTAAGGTGTTGATAAATGATACTTTTGAATTTATTGGGACTTTTAAAACGATACAGATGTTCTTGAGTGCGTTTAGATAAATATCGTCCAGTTTCACCTACGTACTGAATACCGCATCCCGGTTTGTTTCATGTGAGTAAATAAATTATACTGTTTGTTTTTCAAATTATATCAGTTTCAAAATTTAAAGAAAATGTGCGACCATTAAACGTGGACCTTACCGTATTGTTGGTGGAAAGACGGGGACATGTAAGTCATTTTTTGGCATGACACTTATCGATAGAAGGGTAACCACGATTTTTATTGTCAAAAATGTTAGCGATGGTAGTATTTTTAGATAAGCGATTTTGAAGATTGAGACGTGTAGATACCCTTTGAACGAGTTTAGTATTTAATATTTTTCCATTTCTAAGCTTCATATTTGTTTTTTGTTTGTGAATTATATTAGAAAGGAGCAAAGACTGGCGTCCAGAATATGAACCAGCATACAATGAATTAAATTATGTAAAAATGATAAATCTGTTCGGCTAAAGATGTCAAACGCTATCCGTATTAATTACAAAATATGTATCCAACAAGTGTGAAAGAAGGCGATTGTAACAAAGAGAACTTCCTTTACACCTTCAAGAAGTTAAATTCCACCTAGCCGAAAATTACTTTTGTGGAAGGGTCATTTGCGTATTGAATATTGATGTTTTATGAACTACATGTCACCATGATAATAAAGTCGAAAAAAATGAATTTGATGCTGAAGAGTACGAGGCAGAACTAAAAAAGATTATTGACCAAGTGTACCGTTATTTGAGAAGAAATAAGGGGATTCACCATGCGTCTTTTAATTATTCTTCCATGTCATATTCATTCTTTTATATCTTTAGCTTATACTGGATTATCTAAAATATTAAGTTTTAAAATATATTATTTAAATTAAATACATAATTTCATATAAACTTCAATTCGTTGCGATATTTGACCTTAAAACTAATACCTTCTTTTATTTGAAAGGGTTATTTGTTTAATGAGAGCCTAGTTATTAAATTTCTATAACACATGTTACATGTTTAAGTTTACAGTGTGCAAACAAAGGTAACGTTTAACTGGGTTTACAATAAAATGTATGACTACGTGTTACATGGAAGTTAGTAATATTCGATGAGACCTAAGTATGCAATATTACTAACTTCCATGTAACACGTAGTCATACATTTTATTGTAAACCCAGTTAAACGTTACCTTTGTTTGCACACTGTAAACTTAAACATGTCACATGTGTTATAGAAATTTAATAACTAGGCTCTCATTAAACAAATAACCCTTTCAAATAAAAGAAGGTATCAGTTTTAAGGTCAAATATCGCAACGAATTGAAGTTTATATGAAATTATGTATTTAATTTAAATAATATATTTCAAAACTTAATATTTTAGATAATCCAGTATAAGCTAAAGATATAAAAGAATGAATATGACATGGAAGAATAATTAAAAGGCGCATGGTGAATCCCCTTATTTCTTCTCAAATAACGGTACACTTGGTCAATAATCTTTTTTAGTTCTGCCTCGTACTCTTCAGCATCAAATTCATTTTTTTCGACTTTATTATCATGGTGACATGTAGTTCATAAAACATCAGTATTCAATACGCAAATGACCCTTCCACAAAAGTAATTTTCGGCTAGGTGGAATTTAACTTCTTGTTATTTGAAGGTGTAAAGGAAGTTCTCTTTGTTACAATCGCCTTCTTTCACACTTGTTGGATACATATTTTGTAGAGGTTAGCATTACTAAGAGAGTACTTAAATAGAAATTAATGGTAAAACTCATTTTATTTATTCCATGACTTTATAGTCGTCTTGGTCTCGAGATCGCGTTCTCGCCTCTAACGTAGAATGTCGTAGAGTAGATTCATGGCTGGGTCAAATCAAAGACTTTTTTGTTGATATTTGCTGTTTCTCACTCAGCATTAAGCAGTACGATGTAGTAGCAAAGACTGGTCGGCTCGGTGTCAGAATAATATGTTTGAGTAAGGTGTCATGTCCAGTGTGGGCTGTCACCTTTTCAACTTGCACGTTAAATATCTGGCTCATCGTGTCGGTCTAGCACAAAACATTGATCATAAGTCATAATAACATGTTTTGCCCTGAAAATGCATTTTATTTGTAACTGGACGTTAAACAGCCATCCATCATCATTATCAATTTTTCAACCGTTCAACTAAAAACAGCGAAAAGGAATAACTTTGTTCAGGAAATAATCAAATGGTTCATTGAGGATTGTTTGTTTATCTATGATATACAAACGAGGGTAACTTAGAGGAAATTTTATTTCCGAAGACGTTTTGAATATGCTACCATCTCAAATTTTTAGGGTTTTCTTTCTGTTCTTTTTTGTAATAGCTATTGATTGAACTTTGAAATTGCTTTACGCATATTTAACATTATAATAACTATGTTTTAGCGACAACAATGGGTGCTAGACCAGCCATTGCCATCATATTAGACCATATCATGCTGTGAGATTATGCATTGTATCCCTCATCATGGATTCATTATGGAAGGGAAATAAGATTCAGTATCTGTAATATATTTGAGAATACGGATTGACAAAGAACTTTGGTGGGGTTCGTGTTGCTTAGTCTTTAGTTTTCTATGGTGTGTCATCTGTACTATTATTTGTCTGTTTGTCTTTTTAATTTTGGCCATGGCGTTGTCAGTTTGTTTTCGATCTATGAGTTTGATTGTCCCTCTGGTATCTTTCGTCCCTCTTTGATTGCAGACTTCACACCTTGAATATCTAGTAACAGTATCATGGTTGCTGTTTTGTTACATTGTTAATTTTGAAATTTGCTAATAGTGGTTTTGGAGGTTCACACTCTAAACATAACGTTACAGCTACTTAGCGTAATATATTGATCCTTATTTTAATTAAAAGAGAAATGTTTATTGTGTATATTATGACATGGATAAGTAATTGTAGAGATCTAAACAAGACCACACTACATTGAAAATTAAACATAAAACAACGAGGATAAACATTGCTTTATTTTGTTAAGTATATGATGAGCTTCCCAATGTTACGTCTGACACACATTATTGTTTTCTAGTCTATTCTTTTGCGTGTTTAAAGCATACTGCATTGACTTCTAAACTATTGTATTATATATCATTGTTATCCTTATTATAATTTAAAAAAAATATTGAATGTAATTAAGGCTAAGCCTATGATGAAAGTTAGATGAAAAAACTGTAAACTTGTTCAGAGATTTTCATCTGTAAGTGTATAATATGTATAAAAATGTAAATATAATATATTTAGTTAGTACAATCTTGGTCTATAATAATATATATTAAATACGATGAATGTCTGTTAAATTGTGTATTTTTCCTCTTGTTTGTTATATTCTTCCATATTTATTGAATTTCAAGATTCAAATTAAAAGCTTTATCATTAAATCTTGTTATTTCTAAATAGTTCTACTTTTCTGATAAAGATTGCATATAGATCTATTCAACTACTTTGACTACCATTTTACGTATATAATACACAAGTCCAACTATATTGCATGTTGTTGCATTTTATAAATTATTGATCACAACATTGTTGTTTGGTGATATTTGTATATTTTGATTCGTGTGTTCTTTAGGTCTTTGAGTATTATTTGTATTTGGTTAGAGGAGAGGGGCGAAAGATATTAAAGGGATTTTCAAACTCATACGACGAGAAAAAAACAAACTGACAATGTCATGGCAAAAAACGAAAAACGACGAAAAGACAAACAACAGTTAAAAAACACGACATAGAAAACTAAAGACTGCTGATGGAACATGGAAGACTATCATAAAACTTGATGATGTGTGTTATATAAATGGATTCCACGCACAACTATTTTAATATCAGTATACTGCTAATATAAACATACGTGGGGGGGGAAGTAAAAAAACAATCACATCAAGTACTTTTTCCATCTTTTACCTATCATATTTCTTAAAGTATTTCCATCAAAGCAACAAAGAATTTAACAGGTAAACTAGATTTTTTTCCACAATAAACTATTGTACAACACCATTTAACTGAAATAAATATTTGTTTTATAAACACCAATGTTTCCCCCTCTAAATCGTTTCTCTTGGAATCTTTATTTAAACTCTTGGTGAATGAAGTACCACATCACCAATACCTGCATCTAAAATGAAATGTTTGTACACTTTAAAGTTAAATTTACAAGTTAAAGTTTTTTATTATCACGAATCAGTTTTAATTGCTTAATTGTAATTAAACTGAGAATATCCTACTGACTCCATCTTTCAAAAAAAAAGAAGGATAAACAAATTCATTATCAAATGATAAATATATTTCGCGATTGAGATGAAATCGCAAAATAAACAAAGTGAAGAAAATGAATCAATCAGCCCCTACTTTTCTCAGCAAGTTTAGACAAATGTTGGAACAATCGAAATTTGGTGTTCTTTGTTTTAATTTAGTATGATTACTATATTGAAAATTTATTTGGATACCAAAATAGGAGTACCGCAGATAAATTAATGGTACTACAAATAGATGCCAGTGCATACGTTTGTAAAGGAAATATAATTCATTTGAAAAAAATGTTTATTTGATTTCATTCATTTACCTTGAATTCAAATTAAATTATTCTTAGCTAGAAAAATGATGATACATTTTGGAGTTTCATCTGAAACTATACATTGCTTAGTAATTATATTTAATTTCATCGCATGTTTGATAATTGATATTTGTAAGCGACAATGTGTTCTGCTAGCTTTGGTGTGATAATACGCAGTCATTTCTCGACTGTGACGTCACTGAATGTTACTTATCTCCGAACCCCTCTGGAGCAGACTCTTTAGTTTCCTGTGTAGTACTAGTATTTTGTGTACTGTTGTTCGTCCTTTCGTCATTTTTTGCAATGGTACGATGTGTTTTTCTACGACTTTCAGTTTTTCATTGCCTGTTATGATTACTTTTATTTTTAAAATTTGAAACTATATTCGTGATACATGGAAAAAGTTGCAACATATGTCTTTGAACATATGAAACCATATATTGCAATTTTTCTTGTATATTCTTAAGACATACTAGACAAAGTGATGCCCCCGCACTCCCCTCTGTATTATAACATAGTCAACGTAGGACTTTCCTTAAGATATAATTGTGTCGGAAGGAGACACAAATGATGCCCTTGCATATGCAAAGTGTTATTTTAAAATACACAAAGGTATATGGTTCACTGTAGGAGGAGTTATCCGAAAAACACTATGCACCTCTCTGGCGATTTTATACTCCAAAAACGACAAAGTTCAACTATCTCCCAAAAGAGTAAATATTAATAAAAATCAAAACCCTGACCACATGCACATGCACATCTTCAATATATGTACAAACAGCCAGCAAAGTGAAAACGTCCTAGCATTCAAATTGTAGGAGGAGTTATCCAGAAACGCTATGCACCTCTTATGCAAGTAAATACTCCAAAAATGACAAAGTCCAACTATCTCCCAAAGGATCAAATATTAATAAAAATCAAAACCCTGGCCACATGCACACCTTCAATATATGTACAAACAGCCAGCAAAGTGAAAATTTCCTAGCATTCAAACTGTAGGAGGAGTTATCCGGAAACGCTATGCACCTCTTATGCAAGTATATACTCCAAAAATGACAAAGTTCAACTATCTCCCAAAAGAGTAAATATTAATAAAAATCAAAACCCTGAAAACAAGCACACCTTCACTATATGCACAAACAGCCAGCAAAGTAAAACATTCCTAGCATTCAAACTGTAGGAGGAATTATCCGGAAACGCTATACACCTCTTATGCAAGTATATACTCCAAAAATGACAAAGTTAAACTATCTCCCAAAAGATCAAATATTATAAAAATACAAAACCCTGGCCACATGCACACCTTCAATGTATGTACAAACAGCCAGCAAAGTGAAAACTTCCTAGCATTCAAACTGTAGGAGGAGTTATCCGGAAACGCTATACACCTCTTATGCAAGTATATACTCCAAATTGACAAAGTTCAACAATCTCCCAAAAGAATAAATAGTCATAAAAATCAAAACCCTGACAACATGCACACCTTCAATATATGTACAAACAGCCAGCCAAGTGAAAACTTCCTAGCATTCAGACTGTAGGAGGAGTTACCTGGTATAACTATATACCCATAATGGGACGGACGGAAAGACGGATGGACGGACGGACGGACAGGGGTAAAACAATATGCCCCCCCCCCCCCCCCAAACTTTCAGTTGCGGGGGCATAAACAAGACTTTTCTTTCATAGCGGCATTCCATAATCACAATTTTACGGTAATGCAGTTAACAAAGTAACACACTATAGAGTTGAAGAGTGTTTTTTTTTTGTTCTTGTTTGAATAAAACGCACATATTGGAAACGTTTATAGTTTTATAGACACAATGTCGTTGCTGAACATATACAAAAATAACGAATGACGTAAAACTAAGAAATAAGCGTTAGTATTGACATCTAAGTTTCGTGAATTAGTGTTGTTGATCTTAAATCCCATTTAACGTTACTGCGCATCTTCTTGAAATTATATAATTATGAAGGTCCTATTGAAACATTACAGTCTTTAAAATAAAGTACCTGCTAAAGTAATTTTCTTAGGATACACCAAGCCTGGAATGACACGTCTGTGTACGTGGTGTATATGACTTCTTCGTCTGAAGCACTTCCGATACAATACAAAAGCAGACAATGCAACAATAAGGAATACTAGCGCAGCAAACAAACCGACGATTAAAGCTAGAATGTTGATATCTGTATCTGACGACAGGTCTGAATTATCACTATTAAAAGCTGAAATGTAAAAAAATTTGATACATTCCTAAAAGTAAACACGTTAGTATATTGATGTTTTATCACTTCTCCGTACGTATGAAAACATACATTATTATAGTTATTTATTCAGGAATAATCATAAATATAACCATGATGGTCAATCTTTGATTTAAATAATTTTTCTTTCGGAACACTGTTTTTTTAATTAGAAAGGAAAAAAATAACTAATCGAAATTTCCAAACTGACAACTTTTCAAAATGAAGATATCTACTTGAAACAACGCATACAGCATGTTGATGAATCTTGCAGAGCAGACTCAGAAATTAATGTAGACAAATATAGTCGTTGTAAGCAAAACACTCTTACATTTAGCCTAACTAGCGATTCAGTAGGCATACTTTTCACTGGTCTTAATATCTAATAAAAGTTGTTACCTACATGCACATGCAACTTACTTAAGACTGAAATTTTCTTATCAGGAATTTTGACAAAGATCGATAGTTGTCTCATCGATAAACATCATGCCACATATTCTTAATTTAAACATAGACAAAAATTCAACGAACATTCATACATGGCACGGATAACCTGAATTATAGTCGAAGATATATACGATAAGTTGTCCCTATAATGTTAATTATAATAAGTCTTACTGCTTCTAACCTCTGTAAAAGTAGTAAAGTGTCATGCTTATTCCTTTTGGTTCATTCGTTTTTCCTTTGATGATATAGAATATAGATCATTACATTACTCTTTCTTATATATCACAAATAGTTGTACATATTCTAAAATCAAATAAGACATGGACACACGTTTTTGACCGTAATAAATTATTCCATTTCTGGTATTGTCAATTCGGAAAAAAGAGTTGATCATGAAATTTTACTTTTAATTTAAGGATACTTACGACAAGTCACTGGAAATAAAGAATAGAAAATAATGAAGCTAGAAGAGTATCTATGTAACGGATGCACATGTTATGAAAATATCATTTAAGGTAATAGCAATTCTATAATTATATTTATAACACTACGTTATATAGAAAGCACGTACTACATATCTCCGCTTTGCATTGCTAAATCAATTTATTCAACAAAAATTGAAATTATCATAGTTTTGAGACTGTTTATTTTCCTTTTTAATCGTTTCTATTTTGTTTATCCTGTGGCCTTTTATATCTGACTATACGGTATGGATTTTGTCCATTGTTGTTTTTGTCCTCTGGTCTTTTGTGGTATGTCTCTTAAATGATGTTGGTTGTCATGCATATACTATATGCATATCCTTATTTTCATATACATATACTATATGCATATCCTTATTTTCATACTACATGAATAGCGAGATCGTTTTTATTTCAGAAGGTAATTTGAAGGAAAAACATGTCATTAATTCTCAGAATTTTGAAATTCTTACTAGTTGGATAGAGATATATAAAGAGAGAGTAAAGAATCGTCTAGACTTGAGATTGTGTACGTATTAAAGCTGACCATAGATTTCTAAAACATATATGTGTTGAAATAACGTAGAATAAATCCACTGTTATTTTCTTACCATATTGAGACAAAGTAATCAGGACACTTTCCTGATTAGATGTTCTTGAAAATGGTGTCTGTCCCTTTTCACAGCTGCCCGGGTTTGTGCTCATGACAATTTTCCCTCCTGATGACACCACTGCCTAACATATTAAGAACACATTAGGTCAAAGACAAATAAAGATCAATAAATGAGAAAATTTCATAACTTACCTTTCTTTTTTAATATTTAATTTATACAATTTTCAAATTATTCATTTTAGGTTATAACTCTTACATTTTCAGATACTAAAGACAAATTACCTATTTCTAACATATTGATTAATGGGACGGTTATATAACATATAACTTAGTCGGATAACATTTTAAAATTTTGAAAGAGTAGGTTATGGTTAAACAGCATTTCCGTCTCAATGACGTATATCCCACATATATTGTATGTATGATTCTTCATATTATTATTGTATTCCTAAAAAATAACATGTGTATTTGAAAGTAAACAGCATGTAAACAGAAGACAACAAAGTTTTCCATGCGTGTCGATGAACCCCACATAGTTTGGTCTTTAGCATCGTCTATTCAGAAAACAAAGCCAGGCAAGTTAACAAAACTTTTAAATGACATTCTTTTATAATGTTATCTAGGTTACTTTATTCTACCTCCGGTATTTTTATTCTTGTCCGTGTTCTGATGGAATGAATATTTAAGATGAAATCTGACACAAAATATCATCAACTAAAATGCAATTGATACAAAGAGTTTGCAATTCAACATACCAAGCAGGTAAACAGTGTATCCTGACCATCAGAGTTTATAACTGTAACATAGTAGGTACTACCCTGTAACACATAGGTAACACTGTACAAATGACCAGTTGCTGAAAAATCACATTAAATATTTGATTCTTGAAACAAAAATGCATGTTGATTTTTCCAAATATGATTTACAACTTGGTTCATCTTGCAGTGCTATAAAAGAGAAGTGAAAGATAACAAATGGATATTCAAACACATTAGTCGAAAACAGACTGACAATACCATGCCTAGAAAAGAAAAACGATCAAAAGACTAATAACAGTATACAAAACACAACATAGAAAATAATGACAGAGAAACAACACGCACCCTTCATAAAACCGGGGGGAGGGAAAGGGGGATCTCATGTGCTCCGGAAGGGTATACAGATCCTGCTCTATATTGACACTCTTCGTGCTGCTCCTATGAAATATGTTGATAATTTATATCAAGTGATTAGGCATCACTCAACGGTGGATTGGTAATGTATTCCCATCTAACCAAAAGACATCACCAAATTCATAAACCATCGGTCATGTAAGTTTTCTAACCCTGAAACTTGACCAAATGTGAAATTTTGAAATCGAAACGTTTTTATGACAAAGGATAGACAAGATTGTTACCGGTATAAATACCACAGACATTAAAAAAAAAGAAACACAAAGAACAACACTGAAAACTAAAACTAAAATAGCAACACAAACCCATTTTAAACAAAATTATGGGCGATCTCAGGTGCTCCAGTAAGGTAAGCAGATCCTGCTCTACATGTGGCATCTGTCGTATTGCTTATGTTAGTACAAACCTGGTGTTAAGGTTAATTCTGTAGGTCACATTCGAGCAGAAGATGGTTTCGACAGTTGGAACATATCTGTCGTCATCTCTGAAACTGATTTTCCATAAAGGTCAACCAATTTGTGATGGCGTATGCCAAATTTTTGAAGGGATGTTCAAACTTCAACACTTTGAAATTTTGGTTTAATAACTTCCGTGTAAGCAGCAACCCTCTATCAAAATATCATGAATAAAAATGCAAGCTCTTGAATATCGTATCAACTGGCAGATATATACTCCATATGCAGGTGCTGCTGAAATGTTACTGCATTCAAATTGAAACTTCATAATTGGGAATCTGAAATTGTCCCTTTTGTCGTAGAGTTTTGTTCTCAACCGACCCTCATTGTCAATTTCTAGTTGTAAGTCAAGATATGAGGCGGACTTTAATCCTAACTGTATCAGCTGTATCCTTTATTGCAGAGTACCTTTGAAATTATATTTCTCATCCTGATATAAACGACATTTGATAACTATTTGATAGTATTATTACGTCAATGCATTTTAACATAAAATTATCCGGTAAAAAATTGTTCAAAGAATTGCAGTTACAATGTATTACTTTATTCCCTTTTTTCACGGTTCTACAAAATGAAAGACAACAGTTTGTCTATAAAAGACATGAAAACAAATTGGAGTTGTTCTCATCCTTATACTTGTTGGTTTTCGGTGGATAGTCGTCGTAATTGTAATCATACCATATCTCCTAATATGAAAGATTTATTAATCTAACATTTAATAATATTAAAGGACAGCTCAACAGCAGCAATTAAGTTCGAATCCCCATAAAAAAACCTGGATTGTATGTTTGCAGTTAGAAAACAATCCAGATCTATAAACTATTATTGACTCAATACAAATTAGATATATTGTATAGAGACCTGTTTATTGACTGTATGTTGCCCTCCGAAAGTGATTCTGTTGTTTTTTCTTCTTTGGATTGATGTCTGGTTGAAATTTAAACCTAGCATACATGTACCCTTATATGTATTTCAGTGTGTGTGTGTCTGTCTGTTTTTGTATGACTTTTTATTATACATGAAAAGAATATGTCGTGACATTTATATAGCAAATGCTTTGCAAAGTTGGCAGAATTTCGAAAAAGTCTGCTCTCAAATACTAATCATTCAAATACCAACGATTTATTCACACCAACCAACCATAATTTTCGATTTGTGGATATTTCTATGATTTATTCAAAACCTACCTGACCCAAACATTACAGTTGAACACAGTGTATAGTTTAAGTTGATAGATGTTTTATTTGTACACGAATCCCATAGAGAACCATCAATACAATAGGAAGAATCTCCATCGTTTACACTGTAGGAGAATACACCAAGCAGTATATCAGGTAAATACTGGTTCAACAACGACTGTTTGTCTGTTAATGTATACAGCAATAAACAAATAAAATAATGCAAAGATTGTATAATGTGTATAAAGATTATTGATACAAAATGTTTTTTTTTTCTCAGAATGTAAGCTGATTAAAAGAAGTTTTACCATAGACAAGCATGAATTTTTCCCTACAATTCAGTTGTCATTACATGTATTTGACTTTTCGTCTGAGGCTGAACATGGAAGAATTATTTATATATATTGATCAAACCTAAGGAAAGGAACTTTCATCAGATATATGTTTGTAATGTTCTTTGAAATGACTCAGCGTTTATTGAAATCGATCAAAAAAAATAAGGGATTAAGACTTAATTTGTAAGGGTACAGATATCAGGTTTAACGGTTAGGGGTAAATGGTAATGGGTTTGAGATAAACGTGATAGAGTAAAGAGTAATGAGTAAAGAGTAATGGGTAAAGGGCAAAGGGTAAAGGGTAAAGGGTGAAGGGTGAAGGATTATGGTAAAGTTAGGCTATAGAGTTAACTAAAGTTAAGGGTTGTGATACATGGTAAACGTAAGAGTTAAGAGTAAAATCACAAATAAATAAGGGAAGAGTAAAAAGGGTAAAAGTTAAAGGTTAAAGGGTGATGTTAACTGGTAAAGGATTAAGGATGTTCGCTACTCTGTTTCAAAATAACAAGCTTTTTAAAAGACTGTTATGAATTGATAGTATATAGATACAGGAACTAAAAAAGCAGAAAAAAGAAGGGTCCGTATGGTTGTTTTTGAAATATAAGCCATTGAAAATTTGGCGGGAAATGATTCTCTCTAGATTTTTCATACATTTAACATTGACACCTTTTTTCTTTTAAAAACTATGAAAAAATAACAAGGATTTCATAGGATTTTTAAATATGGCTTTCTTAACTAAATGTAATTATAAAAAGGTAAACAGGGGTTAGCGGGGAAATTTTGTAATGGTACTTCATGGATAAAACCAGAGGATTCTGAATATAATTACTTACCTTGCTTTACTAGAACATGATACTCTTCTAATGATGGACCATTAACTGGATTACAAATAACATTTACATCGTAAGGCTCTAAAGCATTTTCCTTCACCATCATTTTAACCCTTTGTTTAGAAGCTTCATCGGGTTCCTCATCTTCAATAAAAACTCTTACTTTAAAGAATTAGATCGAAATTATTACAGTTGAGATAATTAACGCATTACATTGTATTTTGAAGAAAATATTACTCCAATTTATCATTGACTAGAAGACCTCGACACATAACTATTTAACTGGTTTTCGTATAGATTCGGCATGCAGGGAAGTACATCTGATATGTAGAACAACGTTTATGATAAGTAGAGCAACGTTTAGTATTTAATGTCACTACGGTTCTTTAAATCAACCTACCGAAGGTTTTGGTTTCTTTTATAAGTGTTATTTATTACTTTTAAACATGTCCCCTTGGTACGTTCCACCTCCTTTCCCAATAAAGCTTATTAACCGTTGTGTGTTTACCTTATTTGTTACTTTTATCAATGTTTCATTTCCCATTTCATTACTCCATTCTGAGGATAACAAATTATACCTGATGCAGGGGCGGAACCAGGATTTTTTAAAGGAGAAGCCTTATTATATAAAATGAAATATATACCGCCAAGTGGAGTGAGGCTAAAAGAAATAAGACGATTTTATATTTCTCCGATCGAAAAAAGGGGGCGTAACCCTCTACAACCTCCCGAATCCGCCACTGGCTACTATATAGATGCATTAAAAAATATAGGGGGTTTCTGTCTCAAATAGTAAAGAAAAGGAAAACTGAATGACATTTTTGTATCCCCCTGTTAGTAGATATGTGTATTCCCCTGACAAAACAATATTCTTGCAAGGAAAAATCTTTTCAGCAAAATAAAGTTTTGTTACCTATTTTGACATTTACTGTGCGTATTTCTGTGTGTTTGTTTATTCTACATTGACTAGAGGTATAGGGGAGGGTTGAGATCTCACAAAACATGTTTAACCCCGCCGCATTTTTGCGCCTGTCCCAAGTCAGGAGCCTCTGGCCTTTGTTAGTCTTGTATGTTTTTTTATTATTTTAGTTCATTTGTATGTTTCGGAGTTTGGTGTGACGTCCATTTTCACTGAACTATAAAAAATGCAAATACTACAAATACAAGTGGACGTGGCCGGGTACTTGTACATCCAAACAAAAAAAAGACACTAAGTACAGATCTGAGAGTACTCGAAGTTACTGACAGCTAGTTCAAAGCCACTAATAACTAATAAGAAAAAATCATGCATCTAAGACTAAATTATCAATCCGTACACATCCAACATCCAATGCATTAAGTGTAAAGACGTCATAAACAGTCAGAGAAAAACATGACCTTGTGCAATGCCAATATACAGGTATCGACAGATTGTAGATCCATGAATGTGTATATGTACATGTATATAACAATAATATTTAATTTGCTTTTTTTAGTACACATTTTTGTTTAGGGGCCAGCTGAATCCTCCTACGGATGCGGGATTTTTCTCGCTGTGTTGAAGACCCACTGGTGGCCTTAGGCTGTCTTCTGCTCTTTGGTCGGGTTGTTGTATCTTTGACTCATTCCCCATTTCCATTCTCAATTTTATTTAAGTTTAAAAATAGATAGATGCATAAAGTTGTCATTGTATTGTTAAGTTACAGATGTTTAATTTTGTAAAGAGCCGTTGTACATATTTTTGTTTCTTATTTTTTTAAAGATTATTTTTTGACTGTATATTTTTGACAAACAATCAAGTGGTAAATTGTGTATTTTTTCGTTTTTGGAACATTTATTATAGACGGGTTTAATAAACATGAATCAAGCGCGATGAACTGGAACGTATGTTGCATTTTTTTCCTAAATGCAATCTTGTGTCTCCTTACAGTTAAAAATATGTCAATTTGTTAAGATTTTTGTGTCACCTGACAGTGTAGATGTAGCGGCACGTATGAACCACTATCATTTTACGTAGTAGTCATCCACGTCTTACTGTGTTATTCCGCAACTCCTTGGAAACGTTGAAAGAATTCCAAAAATTGTTTTACATGAGATGAAATTGCGCATTTGCTTTTTATGTTTTTATGCGAGTGACTTTTGTGGTTTCTTGTACCAAAACATGGGCTTTTAAAGTCATATCTGTTTACATTTTTTTAATACGGCAGGCGACGTACGTACGTTTTCCTGGTAAACAAAATATTTTTTTTAGTGTAATTATTTTTTTTTTTTTTTAAATATCGCAAATATATATTATATTGGTGTACAACGTACATTGTACATACCTGCCTGTAGACAATACCTGAAGCTGGATGATGTTATATTGGTATACACCATACATTGTATATACCTGCCTGTAGATAATACCTAAAGCTGGATAATGTTATATTGGTATACACCATACATGGTAAATACCTGCTTGTAGATAATACCTAAAGCTGGATGATGTTATATTAGCGTACACCATACATTGTACATACCTGCCTATAGATAATACGAAAAGCTGGATGATGTTATAATGGTGTACACCATACATTGTACACACCTGCCTGTAGATAATACCTGAAGTTGGATGATGTTATATTGGTGTACACCATACATTATACATACCTGCCTGTAGATAATACACCTTATCGCTATTCCCGCTTGACCCGAGAATCTGTCCCGCTCGAACTTTTGACGTCATACAACAATCACTTTTTCATTGTGGCGTCAGACATTTTCTATTATGACGTCAACATTTTACGGGAACTTGTGTGATGTCCAGTAATGGCGGACAAATAGCGATAAGGTGTATACCTAAAGCTGGATGATGTTATATTGGTGTATACCATACATTGTACATGCCTGCCTGTAGATAATACCTAAAGCTGTACGATGTTATATTGGTGTACACCGTTCATTGAACATACCTGCCTGTAGACAATACCTAAAGCTGGATGTTATATTGGTGTACACCGTACATTATACATACCTGCCTGTAGACAATACCTGAAGCTGGATGATGTTATATTGGTGTACACCATACATTGTACATACCTGCCTTTAGATAATACCTGAAGCTGGATGATGTTATATTGGTGTACACCATACACAGAAATCCGTAATAAAGTGCTCCAAATGTATTGGCTTCTTTGTTACTCCTATAACGTAAAAAACAAACAAAACTTACCGATAAATAATTAGATGAAATGTACAGGAATTCGAACAACTTTGTTTCATCTTATATATTAGATTTATTAATCGTTGTTTATGTACATCTTTCATCTTTATTGTTGACAAAGAACAATAATAAAATAGAAGTATCTGAACTTTTTATTTATGTTTAACAAACAGTCACATGAAAATTTAAATAACCAAGAAGATTTTTATTTTTTCATTTCTTGTCAACTTTATACCTATATATATATTGGGAAGTGCTGTTAAATTAGTTTTTCAGTTAACAGTTTAACTGCATGGAAGTCCTGGTTATACATGAACTAGATAGTAACCCAATTACACTAAAACGAAAACTGACATATCAACATTCGGGTTTCAACAGTAACCAATTGACTATATATACGACATATCAAGCTTTAAATCAACCCGAGATGATTTTTAAAATATGGTGGAAAAACTTACTTAAACAGTAATATATTGTCAACACTCTCTACACATGTGAATGCAGACAAACTTTGTGTGTATACAGTGAATGACCATCCATCTAACTGCTTTGTGGTCTGAGAAAACTGAACATTTCCCGCGCTGCTATCCCACCATGCACCATCTAAATCAGGCGGCAAGTCGCACTCACAATATGCTGAAACAAATCATATTCAAGAATACGTACAATTTTAACAGGCATGGTATAAACTACATTTTAACAAAGCAGTGTTGTTGTTTTTTTTTAAACCAGTTTGTTTGTTATTTTTTTGGCTTGTAGTTTATTAATTAGAAAGTCAAAAGTGGCTGATGGTGTATTATTTTTAGGTGAGTACTCAGTGAATAAATTTTGTTTTGCTGATTTTCGTCAAGACCCAAATATCGCGAAAAAATCATTCAACTTAAAATGCTAATTTTCTCCGCACATAGATGATTTTTCATGTAAATGAAATGCGCGACAGCCCCAGCGTTTTGCGGAATAAAATTCAGTAGATTACTAAAGCTTAGCAACGAAAGTCGTGTCCCACTAAATTTAGTTGCAGAAACTTTGTGAATATTTAAGTGTGAGGCATATGATGATAAGTCTATAGCATGAGAACTTAGTAACCCAATAACAAATAAAAACAGGAAAGACATGTCACCATACATGTACATGTCTTCAACAATAGGAAGGTGCAAGAAGAACTTAGCACCCTGAATTAAATATGTCCGTCTTACCACAAATTCCCTTAAAAAAAGCTTCTTTATCAGTAGATTAAGGCGTAAATAACAAATATTAATACTTACACATAATTCTATGAAAATAAAAATTCGATTGTGATTGAAAGGAAACGTTTCATGAAATTAAGTTACTTACCTTGAAATGTAAGCGTATGAAGCAAGAATATCAAAAACAGTACATGGTAACTCATTCTAATCATAATCCAATGTTTTGGCGTTTTTTTGTTTTTTTTTTTGATTTTCGAATATATCAAACTAAAACAAAACTCCCAGGTTAAAGTTACTTTTTTGCATGGTACATTACATACACACACATTGAATTTGTGAAAATTCACTGTAATTAAAGATTGTAATATTTAATGTCGCACCTGTCCGTCTTTAAACGTGTATATTATATGTGAAATGCACACCTACATTTAATTTGGTCTACAGAACATAAACAGAGAAATAACAAACACATATTAGCAATGCTTTCAAAACACAATTCACTGTTTTTTTTCATATTTAATTTTACAAATGAATTTTATCTTCTATGTCGACGAACATGTTCAAATTTAGGTATATTCACATTAAAAAAATCGTTTTAAAATTCTTTATTCGTCTAGTCCGATTGATGTTTGTTAATTTGTGTTTTAATATTTCAGAAAAATAGTATAATCAGTACTCTGTTTAGTCGAAAGTTGGGGACAGTTAACGTCCACCACAACAACTTAATGTTCTAAGTCGGACGATAGTCGAAAGCGGATGCCTGTTGTCGAAAATGTTTGCACCCTCTTTCGATGCAAGACCTGACAAGTGCTATCTTAAAAAAAGATATCCGACACCTTCAGATGGAGGAATATTTTTAACATTTAAAAATTTGTTTTATGTCTTTTCGATCACATGTAATGCACTAATTTGACGTCAAAAGTCTAACAGTTCTGAAAATTTAGCACACGCACTTGAATCTAACAAATATACATATATACCGTTAATTAACTAGTAGAGGTATGTACTAAGAGTATTTTCTTATGGAGTGCATGTGAAATTAAGATAAGGTAAAAAATAAATTTTTGTACAGTGTAACACATACCAACTTGAACTACAAAACGGTTATGAAACAAAAAAAAATGTCAATGATACAATATAAGCATTCATTTAACAATTCGAGACTCAAAATGTAAAACCAAAGTAAAGCTTCAAGTAAACACAAAACACAAACATACATGGATGTACTGAATAAAATTGCTCATTGTAGTGCAATTACGAGATTTCTCACAATCACTTTATACTTTTTTTAGAATTCAATATTGAAAAATATATAATTCAAATTCACAAATATGTTCAAAATTCATAAGAACTATAGTAATATTTATGATGAATAATCTTTATTTCTACCTGTGTTACCTGTAAAATGAATGCGCACAAATGTAAACAAAAGCTGCGCGCAAACGTAAAAACTTTTAATCCCCAAATGCGCGCAAATGTAATGCGCCCATAGTATAGTTACCTGTACAGACGGTTTAAATAAACATACATGATCTAGAGATGGCGGTTGCGATGACAGTGAACTGAAAACTTGCAAGTTTGGAAAAAAATCGTATTGGTGAAAAAGATCATTTCAATACATTCATTATATAAAAATAAGAAGATGTGGTATAATTGCCAACGAGACAACTCTCCACAAGAGACCAAATGACATAGAAATTAACAAGTATAGGTCACCGTACGGCCTTCAACAATGAGCAAAACATATACTGCATAGTCAGCTATAAAAGGCCCCGAAATGACAAATGTAAAACAATTCAAACGAGAAAACTAACGGCCTAATGCGTGTACAAAATAATGAACGAAAAACAAATATGATACACAGAAACAAACGACAACCACTGCATTACAGACTCCTGACTTGGGACAGACACATACAGGATGTGGCGGAGTTAAACATGTAAGGGGGTGCCCAAACTACCCCTAACCTGGAACAGTGGTATAACAGTAAAACATAAGAAGAAACTATAAAAATCAGTTGAATAAGACTTAACTCATCAGATAGATACAAACAAAATATATATATAACAAACACACAGAGTGGACGTGGTAGTTGGTAGGGTACTTATACATCCTCACAACGAAAAGACACTAAGTACATATCTGAGAGTACTCGCAGTTATTGACAGCTAGTTCAAAGCCAATAACAACTAATAAAAAAATCATGCATCTAAGACTTAAATATCAATCAGTACACATCCAACATCCAATGGAATTAGTGTAAAGACTTCATTAACAGTCAGAGAAAAACATGACCTTGTGCAATGTCAAGATACATACAGGTATCGACAGATTGTAGAGCTATGAATGTGCACATGTATATGAAAATAATATTTAGTTTGATTTTAATTACTGATAACAAAATCAATATAAATACCAATAAAAACAATATTCAAAGATCTAATTACAGTGTTGAATTGGTAACCTTTTAGAATAAGTTTATTTCAAGGATCGATAAGTTTACCCGGATCGTATCTAAATTCGGTAAACAACATCTCCGTAAAAATTAGGATGTGCTATCCCGTTTGAAATAAGTTTTCTTCAGGTACAACCAAACTTCAAAACCAAATCTTTATATCTATGAAAGAATTTAGTAAAGGTTTTAAGTGATTTGTGGTAACAAAATCCCTGACTTAATAATTTATTTTTTACCAGTAATACATACATTACGTTCATTGAAATCCAAAACGTCACAACAGACACGGGCATAGCGAACTAGTTGTGATATATTAACACCGTAAGATGGTGCCAAAGGATCATCACCGTCCAAAAAAGGAAATTTAAGAATAGGAAAGGAAAAATGGTCCCTTTTGTCGTAAATTTTAGAGTAGAGTTTCCCGTGTTAAACTGAAATATCTAAATCTAGGACAGGACAGTTATTAAAGTTTATATTTGATTTATTTAAAGTAAGCTCCTTTGAGTAAATTTCGGCAGTATAGTTAGAAAATTCTTGATTATTCAACGAATTAATATCATCAAGATAACGGTAAGTGTTGTTGAATTTGTCAATTAAATGCAATTTAGACGAGTCTTTACTGAGTTTGGTCATAAACTGTGATTCATAACAATACGATAACAAGTCTTCTATTAAAGGGGCGCAAATGGTTCCCATAGGAAAACCTACAACCTGTCGATAAGCTATATTGCCGAAACGTACATACATATCATCAAGGAGAAAATTAACAGCTTCAATCATCTCATCACCCCTCCAGTAAGTATATCTAGCATATTTTCCTTTCTCATTAGAGAAGAAGGCTTTAAATGAGTTGCAGCAAATATATTTGCATTTAGATTTACCAAATGACCATTTTATTAAATAGAAAAACCTTTGTTTGATAAGATTTTGTGGTAGTATAGTGTAAAGAGTTGAAAAGTCAAAACTGTCAACAGAATCAAACGGACCATCATAAGCACGTTATTTATCTAAAACATCCAAGGAGTTTTTTACACTCCAAAAATAGTTAATTCCACTATTTTCATATGTTTTATAACGAAAGTTAATGATAAGTTCTTTGATAGTCGTTAAGGAACTAGTTAAAAGCACCGAAGGATTAGTTGTAGAACACTTACTAGAGGCCGAGATTAAACGATATGTTACTGTTGTTTTTTGTTGTTGTGTAGTTAAGGTAACCAATACATAGTAGGGGCCTTCAAATGTTCAGAAGAGACCTTAAGCTGTGATGTGGTTATATGATTGTTTACTATATGACTATCTGTGGAGCGCACGGACTTGAATGTAGAAGAATTTAAAATTTCATTCTGAAGAACGTCCATGTAGTATTTAAGGCATACCACCACCACATTGTTGGCTGCTTTGTCGGCCGGTACAAACACAAACTGCTTTAAAAGTGCTTGAAGTTTGTTTCTTATTTTAGAAATAGGCGTATTATGTACTCTTTTATTTATTTCTGAATTATTCGAATATCCACAACATTCATACATTTATTTAGATAAGAATCAAGGGATTTTTTATCAGAATTTTCCCGTTTACACCAATTTTTACAATATGATGAAAGAGCGTCTTTTGTGACCAGACGACACTGTTTCCAATCTATTTTAGATGAAGGACGATATATTAGTCCTTTTTTCAAAATGTTTTTAACCTCTCGGTCTTGAACGATATTGAAGTACCCCGTAATAGCATGACCATAGGAATCATTTGTCATTAAAATTCGACGATTCACAGTCTTAAGTTAGAGGAGTATTATTTTCTACACTGACGTCTGATGTTACTGACGTATAATTAAACATTAAACTTCTGCAGGGTTTTTTGTATGTATACGAAATAATAGGTGGTTCTGTGTTATCAATATAGGGAGGTATAAAGTTTTGAATGATATGCTCAATAATTATGTTTATCTCAATGTTTTCATCTTAAAATGTGAGATTTTCTGTCTACAAATAAGTCTCTTTGTATGTAGCGTGTGCATATCTTTTTGAGTGGTCTGAATGTAATTAACGTTCTCTAAACTAGTAAATATTTTCTATTGAAGTATAACTAAACTCATCATAGATACCAGGCTTATAATTTTGTACGCCATACGCTCGTTTCGTCTACAAAAGACCCATCAGTGACGCTCGAATCAAAAAAAGTTAAACAGGCCAAATAAAGTACGAACTTGAAGAGCATTGAGGACCCAAAATTCTTAAAGGTTTTGCCAAACACAGAAGTGCTGACTACTGGGCTGGTGATATCCTCGGGGAGGAAACCTCCACCACCAATGCTTTAAAGGTATGTATCACGAAAACATTAATTGTACTCCGGTGTAATATAGATATCTGAGATAAAATTTATCTATATTCTAAACTAGTACTTGTTGTACATGAACAAATATTAAACAAACGTATCGACGAACAACGAGAATGATAGTATCATCCAATCAGAAAACAGATCAGCAACAACGCCCACGCCGCTACCATTAAAGTCAAATGTTACAAATTCTAACAATACCGACTGCTTTGTAAAAAATATTTCGGCCATAATTATGAAACAAGCTGGCCTGGTGATAGTTATCTATTGAAAAAAAAATAGATGGGAAGTATAACTGCACAAACAAGACTTGTCTGGTCTCCCAAAACAAAGGGTTATGTTAGTATAATTAAGTATATTATATTGAACATTAAACATATTGGCGCTATATCTTTTACTTTATTCAGTGCATATTTAATATAAAATCAATCTTTTGTATCGATATGGTATCTAAACTATTTTTGATAAATATTGCTATTATTTATTATCCTTTCGTGTCCATTTGAAAACGCAAGTGGAAGTTGGGCATATCTTTAAATCACGTGGTACAATAAATTTGATAACAAACCAAACAAGGAAGTTTATCTTTATGTTGTAAAAATAATATGATTGGAAAATACCCAGATTTTATTAATAAATGCAAGTCCAAAGGTATGTCAATTAATTATATGGTACATTATACGTTATTAAAGACATTTTTAACATTGTGTGGACATCTGTACAATTATTCTATGCAAAGCAAAGTCGCTTCAAGCGCTATAGGAAGGATGGAAGGCTGAAGTACGCAACTTTAATACTGCTTTGTATTCATGAAAGACATACATTCAAATGTTGGAGACACATCTTACTTTCTTGAAATTAACAATTGATCAACCTGATCGACGTTAAACATTTTATTGACAAATTTGAATGCTGAAATATTTCCATCGCCTGTATTTGAATTTGGTATTTTTTAAACTCATTTTCCAAAAATACGTGTTGAGATTTCCGAAAATCAATATCCATTCTAAATTTTCTAATGTCCCGCATACATGAAATATTGAAACAATGCGTTTTTTTTTTAAACTTAATTGGAAATTGTATACTAGTATAATATATAAACAGATCTTAATACTTATGTCAATGCAGATTTTTAAAAAAGGGGAAAAGGGGGGGGGGGGGGGGGTCTTGAAAGTACCACCTTAAAATGGAGTGAGTTCCATGTATATTTTCTGAATGTTTACGTGACTATGACAATCAACAACTAGACATGATCTAAATCGTGACCTTTGAATTACTAGATTTTACGTTATTTCGGAAATTTTTAACCCTAGAGGAGATTCTTACAGTTCTATCCTAGAACACATTTAGACAGTCTGTCCTACAACATTTTTCTAACAGTTTTACCCTACAACAGATTAACTCAGATCTTACATAAAGTAAAAGAGTTCTGACCAAATTAATCCGCTAGTATATGATAGTTCTGAAGCGAGGTAAGAACTAATTTTTACTGTATCTTTTAGTAACTGTGATTACTCTAAATATAGGTCTTTTGTGTCTTTTATCAATTTGTAGTTTTGTGCCTTGGGTTTATTTCTCGGGGATTTTATAAGCAAATTTATAGGTCAATTATATTTGGTGCATGGAACGATTGGATGATGTGGATGTCTGTCTGGCAGGGTTCATATGACCTTGATTTCATTTTCATGGTTCATTTGTCAGTGATAAGTTTTCGTAATTTTGTCAGTTTATCAGATACTTTAATCAATAGGTCAACTATGTTTAGTGTATGGAATGATTGTAAGGTGTATATGTCTGTCTGGAAGGGTTCACCTGACTGTGACTTCATTTCCATAGAACTAAGATAATTTTATGTTTATGGAGAGTTGTCTCATTGGCACTCATACCACATTTTCTTATATCTATTGGAGTAAAACCTTCATATTACACTTTCAACATGAATTCAATGATAAGGAGAACAGGCGTGACATCTCTGCGTGTGCACTCTTTTTTTTTTTCTTTTAAATTATTTCACATTTTGTCATCCCAGAGCATCTTATAGCTCACTATACGGTATCGAGTTTGCTCATTGTTGAAGGCCGTACCTTGAGCTGTAGTTGTTCACGTTCTTGTCCTTATGTAGATTGCTATCTCATTGGTAATTGTACCACATATCTTTATTTTCTTATATGGTACTTTTTTATTTAAAGTTCACTAAACTTCAAACTATCTCTTTCGCCAATGACAGCATCCGCTGGCAATATCATTAACCAATTACTAAATTATTAAAAATCAAAATTTCATTAGTGGTACACTGTAGCTTAATTTATATCCCCGAACTTCTCAGTTCTCGTAAACACAATCCCGTACTCTTTTTCTCGATTTTGACATGATTACCGAATGAGACTTATCACCGAACTTGTACTTATCATAAGCAACATGACGGGTGCCACTAGTAGAGCAGGATCTGCTTACCCTTCCAAAGCACACGAGAACGCCCCAGATTTTTTCTAAAGATTAATTTTGTTCAGTGTTTAGTTTTCTATGTAGTGTTTTTCTTCCGTTTTTCGTTATTTGCCATGGCGTTGTCAATTTGTCTCGACTAAATTACAAATTACATAGGTATAGAGATACACGCAACTATTCCATATGTACAAATATACAAATGAATGCAAAAGTAAGACAGAGGCAATTACAGAGATAACATGAGATGTTAACACTAAAGGGGTATATGTTAACACTAAAGGGGTATATGTTAACACTAAAGGGGTAAGTACCTGGTTTACCTCGGAGAGCCTACATACATACAATTTAATTAACCTTATCAATTTACAAAAACATTTTTTTTAGATCATATAGATTTTTTCTGTTCATCAGAGTAATGCATTTTGTCCACATATGTAACAACTTCATATTCAATTCGTCAGTACCGAAACACTTTACAAAGAAATAAAATTGAACTTATAACGGTTGGGAACGGCTTTCTAAAATTAAAGCAATGCCAAATATCCATTGGAATACATTAACACATGGAATATTTCATATTTGGTATAGATGAAACTATAAAGTAAACGTGCATAGCTTGATATTACACTCCGTTGCTTATTCTCTAGCATATTAACTTAAAATCACATGGCTTTTCTCCATTTTAAAGTGGTGTCAGATGTTTAAGAAAAAAGGTAATATATGTGTCATGACGCAATCCTGTTGTCAATAATCTTTCAGGTAAAATATGAAGCAACTTGGTGGAATGATTCGAGTGTGTATCCCTGAAAATGTTAGATACAACAAGTATGACGTCTACCAGCTATTCTCGTCAGGTATAATACATGGTTGTTTTAAACATGTTAGTATATTGTATAGACTGTATGCCGAAATCTATATATCTATTAATGTTGGTTTTTTTGTCCAATTGACGTATATCCACATAATTTATGTTTGTTTTCTTTTATACAGGTAAAATCTATCTACCCATAAAAGATATACTATTACTTATATTAATGACTCGTAGATACGGAGTGACTTTTAAATTATCTAAAATATTACTTGACACATATACATATATATAAGGCGCGGATTTAGTCAAAATTATTGTATTTATTTGATAAGGAGATCTCCATAATTCGAATTCAGGATATCCTGAAAAATTTCATGACCTCCGAAATTCGATTTCAGGACCTCCATAAGTCGGTTTCAAGATCTCAATAATTATAGTTCAGAATATCCTGAAATATTTTAGGGACCTCCATTATTCGATTTCATGATTTCCTTAAATACAATAATTTTAACTCAATCCGTGCCTCATAAATATAACATCACAAATATTTTTTTTATTTGTTTATAAGATAACAAGTAATAAGATCGCAAAAACATGTGAAAAATGTATGGGTCATGTAAACGAATTAAAATCCAGTAACGTCTATCTATTTTTGTTACAATATTTATAGTATCAAAAAGCTTTATATCAAACAGTAAAACTGTGACTAAATAATGATAAATAAGTCGGAGAAAACAATCGGCATGGAGATTGAGTCTTTGTAGTAATCGCAATGTAATGACTATATAGTTTTGACTTATATGATACAAGTATTTTCTTTGTTACCTACAAGTTTGTTTCGAATGATTATATGTATTAGATATAGTCTTCTCATATCTGCATGGCGTCAGCCAGTAAGACATGAGATGACTATTTTAAATTTACATAAAAGTAACATAATTATTTTATCTTTTCTCTTATTCTAAAAAGAGAAATTTGTTCTGACAAAACAGGAAGAGTTACATTTTCAGATGTTATATAATTATGGATTCTGAATGAAACTTGATTGCTTCTATTTTTCTGTCTTCAAATTGATACATTATCAAATTGAATGCTTTTGTATGGCAATAATTGCCTCAGTCTGTTCTATCTTTTCTTTTTCAAGTTTGATTGCCAAAACCTGAAATTTTGCTGATAAATGATATCATTAGTTTACATATACATTGATTATATTAATATATGTTTTTTTCAAGAACTTCACAGGGAAGAGGGCTATATCCACTTTGATGCCCAAATAATAACTCTTTCATACTGGAGTACCCTTATTTTAACATAAATTACCATTATGATTTATCCCATATGTGCTCATATCCACTTTCATGGTATTCAATCAAGTTTTTTGATTAGTCGGGATATTTTTCTCAAGTATAAGTGTAGTATATGTAATATGATTAATTTGGAAATCATATCGAACTTATTTTTTGCAGTTGCACAGATTAACAAAGTCATTTTACACCGAAAAGAGGTGGGTAAAATAAGTTTGTTGTAATTTTGTTTTGTCGTAATTGTAGTATCATAGAAGTACTACAATGTATGTCTCAAAATTAAACAGTACATCATAACTACACAAGTTTGTTGTAATTTTGTTTTGTCGTAATTGTAGTATCATAGAAGTACTACAATGTATGTCTCAAAATTAAACAGTACATCATAACTACACACCTATAATACCCTTTACAACGGAGAATTTTGACAACAATTAACGTGTCTTTTGGTAAATATTTCCAAAAAGTATCTCGATAGAAAAATGATGTTCTGTTACTGGTTAATCCTTTTTTTCAGTGAGTACTTCTTGTTCTTATCATATTTTCATGTGAGCTTGAAATTAGATCATCAAGGCCTGAACGTCGGCATTTTCCTTTAAACGCAAAACTCACGTCTCTGACAAAGACGATGATTTCAGTTTGCCTATTGTCAACTTTTCGTTTTTAAGTAGTGACATACTATCATCGGTCTCCCAAGCATTTAGATTTACGTATCTCAATTAGTTTCCAGTTGAATTTTTTACAACCGTATATTTTCTTAGATTAAAAACGTTCTGTATAACTCTCAAGGCCGTGATAGAACTTGCCTACAATTCACAAGCTCTTCAGTGGCCACTAGTAATTGTTTGTTTGTTACATGTTCCAGTTTTTTTAAAACGTACTATTCCAATTGTACCCCTGCATAGATCCCACTTGTCCACTATGGTCCATTTTACGTTATGACCGGTTTTTTCTTGTTCATGTTACACTTACTACTGTTTATGACTGTTCTTACTCCACTGTTAAGAGTTGATGTGATTATGATTGTTTTCACTCTCTCACCTGACTTGTATATTGCATGATAATGTATTCAGTGAACACCTGTATACTAACTAAACTCTTAACATATATAGAAATTTGAATATATAATTTGTATACTAGATAGTTGTAAACTTTTTCCAAACATGTGTCAGTCATGTGCTTCATCTCGGTCGACCTATCTTGCAGAATGTACATATTGCATTAATAACCACTGGACCTTAAGCAATAAACAGACAATCAGTCGAATAATTTAAAAAAGACAAGGCTAAAATCCAGAAGAAAAAAGGGGGAAAGATGCGAAGGTGACAATCAAACATATTAGTCGAAGAATAAAAAGACAGCACCTTTGCCATGGCAGAAGAAGAAAAAAAGACAAAACTGACAATCATTATTTCACAAAATTAACTAAAGATTAAACGACAAGAATCCAAGTTAGTCTTAGGTGAAAAGACACAGAGGGAATGAAGATTACAGTGCAATAAGCGAGACACATTGCATGTACCTACAATTTTAAAAATATATTCACATCTCCAGCATTGAGTTATTTTGGAATTTTCTTCAGATTCATTAATACATGTTTGTCTTCTTTTTATTAGAGATGTGCAGACGTATACTTATTTAAAAGGTCATCCATTGAATTTGTCCTTAATCAGGTATGTATGTTCAAGGAAAGACCCATACCCCGTTCACTCTATACAATATCAATCCGGGTTAGATTCAGGCAGTGTAAACGTCTGAACTGTGGCACCCGGTTTAAAATTAATTCTCATTTTAGGCAACTCCGCAAAATTCAGGTTAATTTTGCCTAGCAAATATGCGTGAGCGCGAAATGTAGTTAATGTGAGGTGGTCGCGTTAATGTTATCGTAGGTTTACTGCCTTCTGTCTACATTTGAGAAGCTAGACAACGGATGAAGTACAAGAATCTATTGTTCACAAAAAAAGACAAAAAAGATCGAACAAACACAGAAAATAGACAAACAAATTAGTCTCACAAAGAGCGGGGATGGGACAATGATTTTGTAAGTTATATGGAGTGAGCTAGAGAGCAAGATGCAGGAGGAGTTTTTCTCCTCCACACGAAATACCTTTGTATACACAAACATAAGGAGGATGATGTGGTGCGGGTTTCACAGAACCGTTCGGATAGAAGGGACAAAGAACAAGACATAATAAAAGCTTCAATAATACTTATAAATGTAAGAAAAAATCAGTGAAGAGATACAAATAACTTTTGGCGTATGCATGTCTTTATTGAAGAGGGTGAATCAATCCCAAAGTGAGATTATTTTTTTTTTAACAATAACTTTTTTCAAACGGGGAAGTTAATTTTGGTACATTATGCCGGGTTCGACGAAGGGCATTTTTAATAGTTAAGCGTCTTTTTGGTAATTATCTTAAAATTTTTCATACTAATATTGCAAATATACTTTCGTCAGAGTACTCTATGCAAAGTTTGTTTCTGAAAAAAAAAATTGCATGTTTATTGAAAAAGTACTTTCGTAAATATTTGTAGTTTACCAATTTTAAAAATACTCATAAAATTATTTTTCTTTACCTTGAATTTATTTTTTTTCAGGCATGGGTGCTTAGAGGACACCATTTAACTGTGTACAATGGTTTCAAGACCTTGCAAAGAAACAATAATAAAAACTTTCAATCACAGATCAGTAGTCAACAAAGACATAATTTGAAATATACATATAATGATTACAAGTTACAGCGAAGTGCATTTTGGAGAGATGTTCCTCATCATAAGTCAAAACCTACCTGCCAGAAAATAAAGACAGTGAAGGTTCATAGTTCTTCATTAATAACCAAGCAGAACAATCGAAAAAAGGGATCACAATCTTTAAAACCATTGAAAAGCGGGAACAGTGGAAAGGTTTGTATTTCTGTTTTCTTTGTTGTTCGCTGTTTAATGAAATCTGAAATTTTGGAATTCAGAACTTGGACTGAACTTACACGAAAATATTTTTTGTTGATTTTCATAACTTGATTGGACCACATAAAGTGTTTTATATCTCTAATATCATCTAGAGGGGTTCTACACTTTATAATTATATACCGAGCGCCAATAGAAACATGTAATTTTCATTTAATAAAAAAAAATCGAACTGACAGAGCATCTTTGAAAACGTATTAAGATATTATTACAAAAGATTTCCATTAAATTTCAGAGCTTTATGATTTTCAGATTTTAACATTAACATTTTTACCAAGAAAATAAAAAATTGCCCGTTTAATTGCAAATAGGTGGTGCATATTTCCCTTCTGTGTTTCACTCACATGGTCAACACGTAAAAGTTGTCAAATCCTACCAGACATTTTATATCAAAAAGGCTATATCGTAAATACTTAAAATATTTTATAAACAATTTTACTTATTTCCATAAACTCAAAATGCTATGATTTGTTGCTACATATCGTGTTGAATGCTCTTTAATTTGATACAAAAATGCAAAATACTAGTTAAACATATGCACAACTATGTGCTGGAACATCACATTTTAACAAAACACCAGTTTGAATTCCAGCCTAAAGATTCCACTGTCTATCAATTACTTGACATTTATGATATAATTATCAGTAATCTGAACATTGGAGGGATGTAAGATTCATTTTTTGGGGGGATAAATCAAAGACATTGGGAAAAATACTGAAGATTGAACAAAATCTGTTTGTTGCGCAAGCTGTTTATCATATTTGTTTTTTGTTTATTGTTTTGTAAAGTTTGTTCCTGTGTCATTCTGTTGTACCACTGTCTCAGGGTTGGGCATACACGTTTAGCCCCGCCACATTCTGTATGTGCCTGTCCCTAGTCAGGAGCCTGTTATTCAGTTGTTGTCGTTTGTTGCTGTATATCATATTTGTTTTTCGTTTATTGTTTTGTACTAAAATTAGGCCGTTAGTTTCCTCGTTTGAATAGTTTAACATTTGTAATTTCGGGACCTTATATAGCCTGCTCTGTGGTATGGGTTTTGATCAATCATGAGAGCCGTACGGTGTCCTCTAGTTGCTAGCTTCTACGTCATTTGATATTTGATGGAGAGTTGTCTCAATACAATCTTACTACATCTTTTATTTTTATTTTATACAGGTGTGAAATTTATTCGGGGACAGTTGGCCCTACATCTTTCCACAATAATGAACCCCTTTAGCAAATGGTATCAAAATATAAGGCAGATTATCAATTTTCCATTACATTTGGTCCAGTGAGATCACTTTTAAATGAAAAGTTTTGAATTATTTTGACACGTATCGTAATAATTTCTAGCTTCTAAACTGAACATAGTCCATGCAACCAAAACTGTTAGAATAACATGTGTGAGGAATGTATTGAAAGAATATTATTGTATTTTTTTAACAAGATCAAAAGGGACAAAGAATATAATGTTGCGCGTTTCCATTGGCTCTCAGTATGTATAACATATTATGGAAGTTTAATTTGACGCTGTTCAAATATAGTTTTTCTAAATGTATACTTACAGTCTAAACAGTTCATCCAAATCAACAAGACAACTGCCAGGAATTGTGATTCTGATAGGTTTTTAAAACATTCCATATTAAATGAGGCTTCTAGCAACACAAACATATTAGTCTCTACAGAAAACGGTAGTGTACCAGAAGAACCATGTAAAACCTTTGAAACGCCAGCTGTATACATGATGTACCAAGATTCCCATAAGCTATTACAGTTAACATCATTATCTTATGATAACATCATGTATGAAATAAGAAGACATACCTCAATTCCGTATAGTTTACTTCTGCTTTATCACCACGGAAAATGTCTCCATGGAAATATGTTTCCCAATATTCAGCCATACGATTCTATCCTTGTCCTGGTTAAAGGCAAAGGCGGAATGGAACAGGGAGGTAGATACTATTCATCATTATATCATATAACCACTTGGATGTATATGTAATATGCTGTGTATTGCTTAAGAGAAGAAGCAATATAAATCATGTTTGTCGATATGTCACAATTATTTGTTCGAGCTTGTCTTCATTATGAAATAAGGAGATGTGGTATGATTGTCAATGAGATAACTATTCACGGGGTCTGTAAATGACGTGGGTTTAAGCAACAATATGTCACCGTACGACCTTCGACAATGAGAACATACCCTATAGTCAGCTCTGACAGGCTCATACATGACAAAATGTGAAACAATTGAAACGGAATAACCAACCGTCCTGATCTACGACAAAACAATTAACGAAAAATAAATCTGACAGCCACGAATAAACGACAACCTCTAAATTACAAGCTCCTGATTTGAGAAAGGCACATGCAGAATGTGGCGGGGTTAAACATCAACCATCGCTCTACAGTGGATCAGAACAAAAAGTAACAACCAGTTATAAATTGCATTTCTCATCAAATTGGCACGAAACCTGTTTGCTCTTGCTATTTTATTCAAATACAAAAATAGTCTTACTTTGCAGAAACAGCACCCAATGTTCGATTAATTTACTTTGATGTTAAAAAAAGTCTCTAGTTAGCTCACCTGGCCCGAAACTTATCTCATCACTTGGCGTCCGTCGTCGTCGTCCGTCGTCGTTAACTTTTACAAAAATCTTCTCTGAAACTACTGGGCCAAATTTAACCAAACTTGGCCACAATTATCATTGGAATATCTAGTTTAAAAAATGTGCCCGATGACTCCGCCTGCCAACCAAGATGGCCGACATGGCTAAAAAAAGAACATAGTGGTAAATTGCAAGTTTTGTCTTATATTTTGAAAATGGTTATAAATAGAGAAAATCTGACACGGTCAAAAATGTTCAGAATGTTGAGCTCTACTAATTGTTCATATATGTCAATACTGTCAAACGACTTCTTATAGGAGTTATTGCCCTTAAATGACAAATTTTACCATTGTTTTCTATGCCTATTATCTTGAAAACTATAATAGATAGAGAGAAACTTTAAATTGCAAAAATGATCAGCAAGACAAGTTCTACAAATAAGTCCAATGGTTGAAATCATCAGTTGACACTTTATTAGAGTTATTGCCCTTTGATGACAATTTTTACCAATTTTTTGCGTTTTTGCCTTATATCTTCAAAATTATAATAGATAGATAGAAACTTAAATAAGCAAAAATGATCAGCATGACAAGATCTACACTTAAGACAGAGGAAATCGTATGACGACTCCTTATTGGAGTTATTGCCCTTTAATGTCGATTTTCCATTGTCTGTTAACTTTTACAAAAATCTTCTCTGAAACTACTGGGCCAAATTTAACCACACTTGGCCACAATCATCATTGGAGTATCTTGTTTAAAAAATGTGTCCTCTGTCCCCGCCTGCCAACTAAGATGGCCGACATTGCTAAAAATAGAAATTAGGGTAAAATGCAAATTTTTATCTATTGTTTGAGAACCGTTATGAATAGAGAAAATCTGACAGGAGCAATGTTGGAGTGTGTCCTTTGTTTAATATGCACTTAGACCAAGGTGAGCGACACAGGTTCTTTAGAGCCTCTAGTTTAATTTTACTCCAGTTTCAAATATAATGATCAAAATGATGAGAAAGAATAATGTTAAAATATTATTTGAACGATTATAATAATTAACGTAAACTTTATGGGGATTTTAAAATGACTATTAATAATTTAACACTGAGCCTCTCGTTAAACAAAACAAAAAAACGACTTTAAAGCCCAAATTTTGCATTTTGGTCCGACCAAGCTATACAAGATATATTAACAATCAGACTGTCAAGATGATCAACTTGACAACACTAAAATCGAACGAAAACATTCACGATACAAGAGAAAAGAAGTTTAGAAAGAAGTTGAAAATATTTACCGAAAATCAAAACCCTTACATTGTTTGAAAAAACTCATCAAAGATACCAGGCTTATAATGTTATACGCCCAACGCGCGATTCGTTTACAAAAGACTCATCAATAACCCTCGATTTAAAAAAAATTAAAATGAAAGTGATGCCTCTGACAATATTTTAAAAGCCAAATAATGATAAAAACCCGCACAAGAAGGTTGGTTATTTTAAGATGATATTTTATTTATGTCAAGATTTGAATGAATATAAAAAATAAGGAGATGTGGTATGATTACCAATGAGACAACTATCCACAAAAGTATAAATGAAGTGGATGTTAGCAATTATAGGCAACCGTTCTTTATTGTTTCAATGTGTACTTTTTGTGTCTACTTTTTATATTATTACGTTTCATGACGTAAACTAAGTATCGGGTAAATGGTTTTGTGTCTTCTGAAGTTATTATTTTTTTGTTATTTAAGACAACACTGAAAATGTAACAGAAAAGAGTAGCGAGGATGAAGTTACCACATGGTTGATAAAATCTTTAGGATTAACCAGAGAGCAAGTTGAAAATTACGATTTGGAAGATTTAAACGGCCAGCTACTGTATAGATATTCGTTGGAAAGTTTGGAACAATTTAAATTGGTCCTTCCAGTTGTTCCTATTGGTCTGTTACGAAAAATGCTTATCCTAAGAAAGCCTGATACTAAAACAAGAGAGATCCTCACACTACCAGAAAGTAAATGGAAATGTGAAGATGTTGAAGATTTAGTAAAACGAACGTTAAAGGGGAAAAGGGACACAGTTGATAGCATATGTAAATTTATTCACGAGAAAGCTATAGATGGTGTGGTATTTTTAACATACAGTAATGTTGAGGAAATGCAAGAAGACTATTCATCATCAAAAGAATACAGATTGCAGTTTGAAAAAATTATGCTCAAACAAGCGGAGATTTTAGTCCCAGTTCATGATTTAAAAAATAAACCCAAAAGTAGTAAAGAGAAACAAGGACATAGCAAACCACCTTCTGAGGTTGAAAAGTGGGTTTCATTTTTACAGGACCGTCTTAACTTGGAAAAATCTTCTGCATCGCTGGATACATTCGCTAAACCTTGTAATTTAAGCATCATATACAGTGCATGGAAAACAAAAAATGATTTTGAATCTAAAGTATTGTTCTTCATTCTAAACGAAGAACAAATTCAATTTGACTCTCATTCACAACGTATTATTTGGAGTAAAATACGACAGAACATGCGACGATGGAGACAAAGTTTAGATGCTTCTTCGAAAACATTATTTGAGGAAACTGATGACGACGAATGTTTGACCTATGGCGGACAACATATTTCATTGTCAAACGAGCAACCTAATATGAAACCAATAATGGACAAGTTCAAAAAGCCTCAAGATCTGTTATTGATACCAAATATGTTTCTTGTAGTAGAATGTGGTACATTTGGAACTGATGTTATAACATATGAAATTAATTTGCAAGTACGAGAAAAAGATCCAATTCTTTACCGGTTTAATTTTAGAAAGGGTATTGAATATTTACAGTTCGACCATCGGAATGAAACAAAAGATTTTTGGGCATCTGCCTTGATAGCGCGAGGTACTGAAATTGAAGCAGATAAAGCAACGGTCACTGTGAAATGTATTTCACATATACAGTCGCATCGTCCATTTTTGGCATCTGGAGCAGATATTCAGTATATTGCAGGCAAGGTTTTCCCAACATGTGAATCAGGTGGAGCGTTGGCAGACAGGTGTTTTGAATATAAATTTTTCGCGTCAAGTCTTGTTTCGATTGAAAAAGCTATCAGTAAATTTTTAATCGAAACTTTGCGTTTTGCCTGTGGTGTATTAAATTTTAGAAAAAATGGAACAATAGCTTTTGGAATAGGTGACGACGTAGCAAAAATTGATGGCAGAAGTTTTAAGCATGGGGAGATAGTTGGTTTTTGTATTGAGGAAACGATGAAAGACTTTAAATCACAGTTCACAGACGCATTGGATAATGCTAAGAACAAATGTTTTGACGATGCCTCCAAAGCGACTGCCATTATGTGTATTGGTGATCCTGTTTTTATTCCTGTCGTTACAAGTGCGAGTGAACGAGTAATGTACGTAATGGAAGTTGACATTGAGCCATCCACTGAAAAATGTGGAGATGCGTATTTCAAATTGAATAGAAGTAAACTTGATAATATCGGAAATATTAAGAAAATTGAAAAAGACTACACTTTATTTGTTCGAAAGGGGTCATCAACAGAAAAAGTAGTTGATGACGCTTTTATACATAAGCCTTTAGAAAGTATTATCAAGCAAAGAAAGATATTTGATGAACGCATACGAAAGACAATAAAGGAGCCGCTGGAGTTGCCATTGGATAAATTAAGACGCCTTTTGTGTAATGGTTTAGATCAGTTTGATAGTTCCTTTTATCCTTTCTTAGTATTAAACAAACCAACGTTAGAGCAAAAACAAAACCCAGAATGGATTCAAAGATTGCAATTTATTCGTGCTATTGATTTTTATTGTATATTCGATTTCGACGATTATTCAAATGTGGATGGATTGTGTTCCAACTATAGAAATAAAATGAAAAGTGAGATACACAGTGAAGATATATTTGAAGACTTCTCAAATCGTTTCACTAAACTACAATCTTTGCTAGGTTTTCCGCATGATCCCAAAACAGTTTGGGTGTTTGCTAATGGTAGAAATGATGTTACACCAGTTCGGCCACATTATGACAGTGACAGAAATTCTTGGAGTTCCGAATATTTAGGAATACGAGATGCTGTTTTCTTTTATAGTCAAATTATTCCGAAACGGAGGGCAATGTTTATATTTTTGCTGTTTTCGGATGATTTCATTGGTTTGATAGAGACACTAAATGAATGTATTTTACGATTTGGATGGGACAGAATATTAATAATTACGACAGAAGAGTATATAATAAAAAATTTAAGAAAAATATTGGTAAGAGAAAAAAGAAGTTCAGAAGAAGATATAACAAGACAAAGTGTTTATGGAGAAGGTTTGACATGGGAACACATATGTTCTACATTTTGCATGTCGACAGGACAGTTAGACGAAATTCTAATACGAATTCCCGTACATAGTGGGGGAGACGGTGTGCCAATGGATCAAAACTTTCAAGACGCAATAACAGATTTAGATGTATTGAGTACCACACTATGTAATTATTCATCTCATGAGAATAACGAAATGTTTAATTTGAAAATAGAAAAGCAGTTCTATAAAGGTGGAAAGGTAAACTGGTTTAATTTTGCTTTAGGGCATGTTTGCACTAGACACATATTTACGCAAGTGAAAACCTATATACAACGAGTTTTATCTTATGGACATGAAAATTATGACCAAGTAGCAGTTCCAATAACGATCGTTTATCAACCAGGAGCTGGAGTATCGACATTAGCTCGACATCTTCTTTGGGAATTTCATGATCGTTACCGTTGTGCAATAATTAAAAGACTGACAAGTACTACGGTTTCAAATATATTTTCTCTTTGGCAATACAAAGAGACATCTAGGCGGAACCCTCTACTTTTGCTGGTTGATGACCTTTCTGATCCTGATTACTACCCTCAACAGTTACCAAAGAAAATACAGAAATATTTCAATAATATCAAGCTACCACAGCAGGGACCAGTTTGTTGTATTATTATTTGTCAACGTGGTATAGAGGAAGTAAAACGTAAGCCCAAATTTACAAGCCCCTTAATTGAATATTCTGAAACACTACGTCAGAAATTAACAGATGAGGAAATACATTGGTTTGAGACTAAGTTCAAACAAATAGAAAAAAGAAAGCATCCATATCGCCCGGACAATCTCATCTCATTTTTAATTCTCAGAAAGGATTTTGATGGCGCTTATATTAAAAAAACGATCTCTGAGTTATTAACCAAGATTGACGAGGATTCAAACGAGTATGAGTTGCTCTCTTTTGTAGCATTACTTTCCTACTACGGAAATCTTTCGTATAATTCAAAAAGAGCATGCATCCCTGTAGAGTGTTGTGATGAATTCATTGGAACAAAATATACAAAAGGTAAAGCATGGGAATTCTGGGAAAAGAATATGCTAGAGGATAAAAAAATATTCCTTTTAGTTGAGGAAAACCGAAATTATAGCACAAAACATAAATTCAAAGAGATTCGAATATCACACCCTTCAATAGCTCCCGTAGTGTTAAACATCTTAAAAGAAAACAAATTGTCTTTAACTGATCTTACCTTAAAATTTCTAGATTCTTCCGTCTTAACAAATAATTCAGTCACTGCAAGCAGTATCATTGAATATAAGACAAAAGAAATGCTTAGGAGAAGGCTAAAAGAAGAATATAATGATAAGGTAAATACGTCTTATTCACCTTTAATAGAAAGAATTACTAAAGATGAAGGTTGGAATAATGCCGCAAAGGTTTTAAAAAAGGGGTTCGAGTTATTTCAAGACTGTTATATCTATCAAATACTATCGAAATTACTTTCTAATAATAAACAATATGACGATGCGATTAAATATGCACAGGAGTCAATAAAGTATGCCTCTTCTATAGAAGAGAAGGGGTTTTGCTATCAAAGTTTAGGATTAGCTATGAAAGATAAATTTGAATCAAATATAGATGACTTCGTAAATATTGAAAAATCAGGATGCGCTGTTAAAAGTCTGTTAGAAGCATTCGAACTTTTCCTTGAGGCAAGACGATGCGTTGAAAATGCCGGTGAAATAAGCGTTCTTTATTGCACTAATGATATAATAAAAACTATTTTGCTTTGTGGTCAATTCCTCTTAGAAAAGGCAAATTTCCCTGCCGAAATCAACCGAAAGAGATTGCTTACAGACCCTCTTTATGATCTCTCAGAATTACCTGATACATGGAAAGAAATACAAAGAACTCTTACAACTTTAGCCAGTCATGGCAAGCATTCATTTGAGATCATTCAACGAAAGTTATGCTACGAACCAATATATTATAGTCATGATCCCCAACAATTGCACCGCTTTCATCGACGATTGCATTTAGATTATCCGAAATTGGTAAATAAATTTATACAAATTTTTGGAGAAGACAGTGAAGAACCACCCACAGACACTATCCCAGAAGTTATTGATGAATGGCACAGACGAAAGGTATTAAATTATATGGGAAACAACTACATGGACCTATATAATCGCATATATTTACAACATCGGCGTAAATTTATGCAGCTGGATAGGGCATTTTCTCTTTGTTTAGAAATACGAGGCCATCTAGCCCTAATTGTCAACAAAGAAGTTCGCGACTACATTAATTTAGTGTCTGTCAATTTTCTGCTTAGTTATTTAAAATCACATGGAGTTAAAAATGCACCACCTTTACATTCAATTATAGAACTCATCGGGTTTTGTCAAATTGCATCTATGACACCTGGAGAATATGCTGATCAAGCTTATTTTTTTCTGTCTATGATGTTATGGCCCACACGCGAGGAAGACACAAATGTTGACATAGACCTATTTCAAAAGGCATTGAATAACTTCTCAATCAGAAAACCAAAACGATTTTATAAGAAAAAGGAACAAAGAGAAATGAAAGGTGAAAACAATATAACAAGACCTTCTCCTCAGTTCTTTTTGGGTTATGGCAAAGGTCTGAAAAAGTTTTGTCATAGGTTTGATATTTATGATAAGTCTTATGCGGGTGAACAGTTCGATGATGGAAAGATATGGCACCGCGAAGATGTCAAGCGGAAAGTCAGACGAGTAGAAGGTTATATCCAGTATAACCAATCCTGGCAATATATTTCTGTAAAAAGTCACAAATCATCAGACAATGAAATTCAGATTCATAAAATTAAAAAGTGTTCTATTAAATCGGAAGAAGAGGTAACATTTGTGCTAGGATTCAGTATTGCCGGACCAATAGCTTATGATGTGCAACTTAAAGAGAACCCAGAATCTTACAGTTCTCCAGTTGCTTTATATGAAGATAAAACTGAAAAATACTATTACAAATCAGACGGCGAACTTTCTGACTTGATTACCAGAATTCAGGAACTAAAAATGGAGACCGACCACAGAAATCCTAATCAGCATGAGGTAATTTAAGTTATATAATTATAAAAGTAAGATAATGAATGGAATTATTTCGTATGACGCCAAATGCGTATCCAATGGTCAAAACTGAACGGCCTTCACAAAATGTCAATTAAAACCAAAAAATCATGGATTCTGCAGAAATTCAAAAGGAATAAATAACAGTTTTATTAAAAATAACACCGCAAAACTGAAAACAAATAAAACATGAAAACATTTTAAATCTTTGCACTTCTGCGAAAGCTGCTCTCAATAAATAACGAGATTGAGCGGTTTGGCTTATATTGCAAAAGCAGTCAGAGAAAATCTGACATAATAGATTTGACCAGCAGGTTAAACTATATCTACTGCGCAAATGTTTAACTTGCCCCTGAAATGTCATTTTTTTTGTTGTTGCAAATTTCAGTTTTTGGTATTATCTTGAAAACTTTAACTGAAAGAGATGAGTTTTAAACGGTAAAAATGACCAGAACAATAAGATCTATAAAAACAAATGAACATGGAAAAATTGTTAATTGACCACTTATAGGAGTTATTTCCCTTGAAATTCTGATTTTGAAATTTCTTTTGCGTTTTTTTGCAGAAATGTCAGTAGATAATAGAATTAAGAATGGAAATAGGGAATGTGTCAAAGAGACAAAAACCCGATCAAAGAGCAGAAAACAGCCCAAGGCCACCAATAGGTCTTCAACACAGCGAGAAAATCCCGAACCCTGAGGCGGGCTTCACCTGGCCCCTAAACAAAAATGTGTACTAGTTCAATGAAAATGGACGTCACACTAAACTCCGAAACATATAAATGAATTAAAATTATGAAAAAAACACATACAAGACTAACAAATTTAAAGGCCAGAGGCGGGGTTAAACATGTTTTGTGAGATCTCAACCCTCCTCCTCTAGCCAATGTAGAATAAACAAACACACAGCAATACGCACAGTAAAACTCTGTTTGAAAGAAGTCCGAGTCCGATTTCAGAATAGGTCACAGAAGAAATAACAATGATACATACATTAACAAAGGACTACTAGCGGTTACTGACATGCCAGCTCCAGATCTCGATTAGATATACGTATATATTGTCAAAAGCAAGTGTTCAGCAAAATAAAATCTACAAATCGATCAACATGGACAAATCTTCAATGTACCCATTATAGGAATTAATTTCCTTATACCGCTTATAGGAGTTATCGCCCTTGAAAAATGGTTTTATTATTTTTTTTCATTAATTGCAGAAATCATTATACGCAGAAAGAAATTGTAAACATCAAAGATCAAAATATAAGTCAATATGGCAAAATTATCGTTTGACTCTTTTTAGAAAAGAAGTATAACAAAAATACCGAATTCAAAGGCAAATTCAAAAAGGGGAAATCAATAAAAACTGACAAAATCATAGTTTATTAATCAACATAACAAGTGAAAAACAATTGATATATTCGTGAAGTTATTGCTCATGAAAGATGAGTTTTGTACAAACTATATAATAGGTTTCGAAACAGGTTTTTTTTTCTTTTTTCTTGGGGGGGGGGGGATGTTTTTGCAGTCTTAATGAGTTTTATAGCAAATTTACACAGAAAGTGTTGCTAAATTTGTTTATGTGAATTAAGGGAAATATAGAGTATAGAATAAGAAAGCAACGACACACAAAACCAACGACATCTAGAAAACACGTGACTAGTGCAAGTATTTTTTTACTGCTAATTTGAATTTTAAAAAAGATTCGTTAGTCCCTTGAATTGAGTTAAGTTAATAAGTATGTTTAGTACAGCAAGTATGTAATCCACCAAATAATAACATAACGTGTTGACAAGAGTAGCCAGATTTCAATAATAACACATTTCAGTCTCCTAGTACATATTTGTTTTAAGCCTTTCAACTTCTTGTGAAAACTAAAAACATTACTTACATTGCTACATTTTGTGATCTCCTAATTACCGTTCAAATGAATTCGGCTTTTTCAAAAAAGATAGTTAATCACCGAATGCCTTATCAAAAAGAACACCGTCATATAAGATAAATATTTATCATGCTCCTACGACAAAATGTCGGTGCATCTTGTTTTACCCGTGTCCGTCCGTCTGTCCCACAAACGGTATAAGATTTATATGGCTAGGTCCCCATGACTACAGTTGTCAAGCTATAAGCTTACCAAGGAGGAAATCAATCCTGAATAATCATTGGTCCGTTCAATGTTCCTTTGGAATTTCAATCATAGATGAAGAACTTAATCTTCCTTCACTGCATTGGATACCTTTTAGAATTACATAACTGTCCTTACAAACAACGTTATATTGCTGGGTCTTCCACCTGCTCCACGAAACCTCTTTCTAAATTATAAACATCAATTATATCAGCAATCAAATCCGGGCTTCAAATTTATTGAGAAACTACCTTCTTTAGTGGCAGAGCACCTGAGATCGGGGTTCGTGTTGCTCATTTTTTAGTGTTTTGTGTATGGTTTGTCTTTTCGTCGTTTGTTGGTTTTCGTTTTTTTTTTTGCCATGGCATTGTCAGTTTGCTTTCGTTTTTGTTTACATAAATCAGGCCGTTAGTTTTCTCGTTTGAATTGTTTTACATTTGTCATTTCGGGGCCTTTTATAGCTGACTATGAGGTATGGGTTTTACTCATTGTTGATGGCCGTACTGTGACCTATAATTTTTAATTTCTGTGTCATTTGGTCACTTGTAGAGTTGTCTCATTGGCAATCATACCACATCTTATTTTTATAATTAAGGTGTGCATATTGTCTGGATTTGGGCTTTTCTATAGAAATTTGACATTTTGGTAATATAAGGCATGCAGGGTACATGTTTTGTCCTGGAAACTTCTCCTACATGTTTCAAGTTGGAGCTATCCTCTAGTCCAGGTTTGGTAACTCCAATACATTTTTCATACAAAAGACTATTCCGAATGGACGAAACTACAAAGTTCAAAACAATTTTCAATATAATTAGCTATTAGACGACAATTATTCTAGAAAAGCTATTAACTGTTAAAGGTCACAAAACTGTTAACACAGAGATATGTCTCGCCTTTTTGTAATTTTGATAATGCAAATGTTGATATTAAAATAGCAATACTTTAACATGTAAGTTATGCAAATATTCAAAGTCAATGAACCATGACTGAAGGTACATGGCTAAACAAACTCCGTGGAAATGAGATGTGCCAATGCTAATACAACTGCATACCAATTACCACTGACATAACATAATTCGTTCCTTTAAACAAACCTAAACACAAACATTTTTTAACTAGTAAACTATGAAATAGTTTCAAAGTCAATGAACCATAATTAGGGGTTGGGCTATATAATCTCAATGGAAATGCCAATAAATTTGCATACCAAATATCACTGAGATAGCATTAGAGGTTCATCTTAAACTGATCTAATCACAAACTAATACATGTAAACTAAGCAAAAGTTTCAAAGTCAATTGACCATGACTGAGGGGGCGGGGCCAAATATTCTCTATGGAAATGCGATGTGCTAATGCTTATACAACTGCATACCAATTAACATTGGCCTACCACTAATACTTCCCCTTGAACTGACCTAATCACAAACTTATACATGTAAACTAAGCAAAAGTTTTAAAGTCACTAGACCATGACTGAGGGGGCGGAGCAAAATAATCTCCATGGAAATGAGATATGCCAATGCATATACAACTGCATACCAACTATCATTGTCCTACCGCTAGTGGTTCCGCATAAACTGACCTAATCACAAACTAATACATGTAAACTAAGCAAAAGTTTCAAAGTCAATAGACCATGACTGAGGAGACAGGGCCAAATAATAGCCATGGAAATGAGATGTGCCAATGCTAATACAACTGCATACAAAATATCATTGACCTACCACTAGTGGTTCACCATAAACTAGACCTAATCACAAACTAATACATTGTTGACGCCGCCGACGCCGGAAACAGCATACCTATGTCTCTCTTTTTGACTCCGTCAAGGCGAGACAAAAACAATATAGCTGCGTGCTGGTAACGATTGACACATCGTCGGTAATGTAATGAATCTATTCCGGAAAAGCTTATAATTGAGACAGCATTTATTGTATCAAATCACTTATGAAAAGTCACAAGAAAGATTGCCTATTGGGTGTTGCATTGCATCTATATTGTTTTAATTAGTTTTTGTTTTGATTTCTGATATCTCTGCTGGATGATGAACAGTACATACGAGAAGCCTTAGATCTTAAAAGAGAAGATTATGATTGCATGTAAATTTAGGGGGGAAAATCCAAATTGTAAAATGAAACACCTAGTTAAAGTTTTAGTAAATTCTGGAATTCATGTCTATTCTAGTCTGAAGAAGGTGCTAAAAATCGATAGATTGGTATGATTCCTGTCATATAGAGAAAAGGCAACAACGAAATAAAAAAACCTTAGACATAGGTTTTACCATATGACAGGATGAAAAACAAAATAATAATTTGAAGTTGTATTATATGTTTAATTCTAGTCATTGTAGTTATGTTTTTTAAATGTATTAAACTAATAAGAAAATTGTGTGATAACACTAAAGTCTTTGAAATATCTTATAATTATTGAAATGGACAATGTGTTGGTAGAACAAATATGTACATTTTCTTTCAAGAACTGAATATAGTATCTCGAAAACTTAATTTTGATCAAAACCGTAGACCTAACATTGTCCAAGTCTGAACTTGGAAAATCAATCATATTGTTTCATGAACAAATTAACCACAAATACTTAAAGGATCAAGTAAAATATCTTCATACACATTAGTTATGTCTGAAAGCCATTGGTTATTCAGGTTATGTAGAGTCGAAAGATATTTCCTTGAAGACGATGTTGGTAACATTTTGTATGTGCATGTCCCAAGCCTGTAGTTCAGTGGTTGTCGTTTGTTCCTGTATATCATATTTGTTTTTCGTTTATTTTTTGTACATACATCAGGCTGTTAGTTTTCTCCTTTGAATTGTTTTACATTTGTCATTTTGGGGCCTTTTAAAGCTTACTTTACGG